GGTGCAATATGTGACTAGGGGCTTGGCCTCCCTCAGGGCATCAGTCTCCCCATGAGCTAAATGCAAGGTGAAAACCTAGGGCAGCTGCTTCTTGGAGCCCCCATTGACAGTGGGCAGGAGGGCAGGGGCTTTGTCCCCACCCACACCCTTGAGAACTGCCCCAGCCCACACATAGTCCCTTTGGAGCCCAAGAGGCCAGCCCCTCCTCACAGCACCAGGCTGGACACAAGGCCCAGCTGAGTCACTGCTCTTCTGGCTATCAGAATTGGTTCAGGAATGGCCGTGTGACCAGGCTGGAGCTTCTCCCAGAGCTATCAGGAAAGAGGCATTCCATTTTTGGGGGGGGTTGCTGAATTGATAGATTGCAGCTGCTGCCACCAGTCCTGGTGGTAGTGGTGGGAACAGTCAGAGGATAAAGCCATCAGAGAAAAGCAGTGCCTAGAGAAAAAAATCCCATCATTCAAGCACGTAGATCCAGCCATATCAGAAGCCAGGACCCCTAAACTTTCCAGCTACACTGGGCAATAGCTCCCTTTCTGCCCACGCTATTGAAGTGAAAGCCAAGGTCTGCAGATGTGAGCTAATTCCAGGTTCTCTACCTCCACAACGGCAGCAGGCTGGCAAAGTGAAAATACTCCTGGGGTAGGATTGGAGGGAAGATACTCAGAACAACCCAAAAGGAAGCTTCCTGCTGCTCCTGCCCAGGAGAGGAAAGGGGGACCACCTGAGTCTCTGCTTTGGGGCTGCAGCTCCAGATTCTACCAATCATGGGGATTATTCATTCAACCAACACTCAAGCAATCTTCTATGAGCCTGACCATAGGACATGCAACAGGCACAAAAATGCAAAGTACGGGGCACTTACCTGTAATCCCAGTTGCTCAGGAGGCAGAGATAGGAGGATTGCAGTCTGCTGCCAGCTCATGCAAAAACAGTTAGTCGTTAGTGAGACCCTGTCTTGAAGAACAAGTCAGGGCATGGTGTCACATGGGAGGCAGAAGTAAGGGGATCGTGGTTCAAGGCTTTCCTGGGCAAAAAGTGTGAGATCCTAGCTGAAAAGTAACTAAAGCAAATAAGAGATGAAAGTGTGGCTCAAGTGTTAAAGTGCAAGATTCTGAGTTCAAATCCCAGTAATCACCCCCAAAAGAAAAAAAAGTGAGGGAGTGTATTCAGCCTGGAGGGTTGGGGTCTGCATGCATCAGATGAGTGCTTGATATTGGTACTAGCAGAAGCATTGGGCTCCCATTGGTAGACGCCCTGCTCCCACTAAAGGCAGATGGATGGATGAGGGACGGGGACGCCAGGTGGAGTGGATTTTTCAAGTAGAAATTTCTTAAGAACACCAGACCTGAGGCTTCAGATAACAGAGAACTCATGCAAACAGAAAGGCATCCCACATCACAAGGTTCAAGTTCTAGGGCAAGAGTGTTGAGGCTGGAGGCAGATCCTGCAGGGATCTATAAACCACTTAGAGTTTAAAACAGAAGGACTCTAGCCAGGCATGGTGGCGCACTCCTGTAATTCCAGCTACTCAAAAGGTTGGAAGTAGGAAGACTGCAATTGGAGGCCAGACCAGGCAAAAGCACAAAACCCTATCGGAAAAACATACTACGAGCAAACGGATGGAGTGAGGCTCAAGTGATAGAGCGCTGAGAGATCCAAGCAAAAGAGCCCAGGGCCAGATCTCTGTGCTAGAAAAATCACTCCAGCTGGGCCTCAAAGATGGCTTAGCAAGCCTCATTCTAAGTTTCCTTCCTCCAACAAAAAACAAAACACTCCAGGCCACAAGAGTGACAGCAGGGTGGCCTAGTCCACTGGGACTGAAATTACGCTAAATTGAGTGGCTTTGTAAACCTCAAAGATTCATTGTGCATGGTTCTGTTATCTGGGAAGAACAAGGTCAGGGCACTGGCCAACGTGGGGTGAGGTGAGGGCTTCTCTGTGCTTTGTAAATGGTGCCTCCCTGCTTCTAACATGGCAGAAGAAAAGAGCAGCAATCTGAGCCTCTCCTAAGGGCACTAATCCTGTTCATAGGGCCCCACCACATGTCCTAGTCACCTCCCTAAGGCCTCACCTGCTAACACCACTGCCTTGGTGATTAGGGTCAACATACAAATTTTGACACTAAGATTTAGACCGCAGCAGAGAGGAATGGAGACAGCTATCCTGGGCTCTGTGCTAAACTGTTTGAGCTTTTTTATCAGTGACTGTTATCAACCCCAGAGGTGAGAAAACCAGAATCCTCACCAGTCAGGTACCCATAAGAGAGGTGAGCAGAGGAAAGGAATGTTTGGAGGGTCACAGTGAAAATACAGGTCTGATCACCTGGCCAGTGACAGGGGAATGGAGAAAGGGAGGGTCCTGCTTCCGGAGCAGGACCAGCTCTGTCACCTGAGGATGCAAGGGCTGATCTCTCTGTTCAAAATGCAATGTTGAGAATTTTGGTAGCAGAGAATTGACATTGCAGAAATGCCACAGAATGACACAAAACCATGTGATGAAAGGTGATGTGTCTTTCACACAGCGTCCTGGAGATGTATGCCTTTGTAGACCTAACTAGCTTTGAGGAAAGCCTGGTCACCTGAAGCCACCATGCGGGAGACACCACAGAAGATACCAGGGGATGCCCAGATGGCTGACAGGTGAAGGAGGAAGTTTGGGTAGACCCCATCACCACCAATTTCCAATGCAACTTCATGAGAAATGAACACAGAGCAGTCCAGTTGAACTGCTCTTGACCTTCTGAGATCAGAAACCCCAAGAGATACTAAATGGTTATTTTGCTTGAAGTCACTAGGTATCAGGGTGATTTGTCAGCAGCCATAGTAACTGGAGCGCTGATGAAAGGAAAGGATGGGGTAGATGGACAATAGTGTTCTGTATGGCAAGTGCAGCATGTGCAAAGGTCCTGAGGTGAGGGGCTGAAATGAAGTGCAGAGGTGCTGAAATGAAGGTGCAAAGATTGGCAAGGCTGATTTGTTGGCCTTCCAGCCTTGGATGGGACACAGGCAGATGGACCATAACAGCACATTCCCTAAGGACAGGGCTCGTCTTTTGGTCCTGCCTACCTTCCTGTGTATGTGCATTTGTCTCTTCCACACTGCAATCCTAGGACCTGTGGCTGTTTCAGTGAAGCCTGTGTAAGGAGGAAATCACACTCATTCATTTGTTGTCTCCATTGAGATGAGAGGCGTCTCCTGTGCTGGGAGCTTCCCACTGTCATTGGGACACTATACCTCAGTCTCCAGGATAGGTAGCAGCCTCAGTGCTCAGATGCAGAGATGGAGGCCGACAGGCTGGGGGTCTCCCCACTGCTGGAGGGAGTGACAGGCATGGGGCCAGGCTATGGGGTCAGTGTGGTGGCTGAGCCTTCCCTCTTCCTCCCAGTTCCATCTCAGGGACTGAGAACCTCCTCACGTGGCCCCATTTCCAGTCGGGGCACCTGAGGCTGGTTGGCTGAGTTCTAAACACACAGGAAGTCCCTAGAACACCCACCAGCACCTGCTGTTCCTTTCCACGCGGGAGCCCTGCACCTGGTTCAGAGCTCTGTCCATCAGAAGAGCCCTTAGTTGGGCTGCAGTCTGTGCCATTCAGAGCTTCCTCAGGATTTGGGAAACAAAAAGAAAGACACTATACCCACAAGAAGTAAAAGAGAGGCACCGCCCAGCTAGCAGAGCCCAAGGCCGCCTACCCAGAAGTGGCTCACCAACTCCTGGGCACATACTGCCTGCAGCTCACAGCCCCAAGAACAAATTCCTGCCATTGTGGGGTTTGCGTCCCAGTGGACTACAAGAGGACAAAAGACAACAATAAAACCGAAAGTGGTTACTTAGCAGCTTTCTCCATGCCTGTGCTGTCCTGACTCAATTCTCATACCCTGTGAAGTAGGTGGTGTTATTTGTCTCACTCAAGAAGAAACTAAGGCACAGAGAGGTTAAGTGACTTACCCAAAGTCACGCAGCTGATAGGCGATAGAGCCACATTTTGAAGCAGTAAACTGAAAATTCCTTTCCCTTGAGCCAACAACTCATCCATTCTTCAGGCAAGGTAGAGTTACCCTGGTTTACAGATAAGGGTGTGGAAACCCAGAGAGGTCAAGCTGCCCACCCAAGGTCTCCTAGCCGGCAGTAGAAGGAACAGGATTTAGGAACAGACACCTCTGATGAGGGTGGGGGATGCTGACCAAGATACTGTGGCACCCCACAAGCCATAGCTCCACTCTGGCACAGGCAGGCCCAGGACAACCTACTTCAGGACAGGACAGAGGCTCGTTCGTGGCACAGCAACCAGGCCAGGGCCACCCTGGGCATGATGTCCCCATTTTCCTAGGGAGAAGGGAGGACAGAAGCCAGCTCCAGCGGGCACCCATTTCTCTGGCCTTGGAAGGCTTTTCTGTGTCTCCAGAAAGGAACTGGATTGGCTGGCTCTCCAGCCTTACCCCTGCCCCCGCTCTTGCTGTCTCTGGGGGTCACTGGCTTGTGTTCCAAGGCTCACATGGAGCAGAGGGGAAGGTGGAGGGGCTGAGAGGGGGGAGGCTGGGGCTGAAACTTGAGAAGCCAGCCTTGGGGGGCAGGGTTGGGGTGGAGAGGAAGACAGAGACAGTCAGACCTTCAGGAAGGAGTTCAGATGTGTTTGGTTGGAGGACACGGCTTGGGCTTGGGAGTCTGCCTGTGTGCGGTGTGCACGAGGCTGTGTGTGTTTTCTTTCCTCCCTTGTCGCAGGGAAGCCCGTCCCTCACTGGACAATAAAAGCCTCAGAGGCCAGGCAGAGAGGGAGAATCGAGGTGAGGGGCGCCTCGGGTGGGAGCAGGAGGCGAGGCCTCGCGAGGAAGCCGGGCAGCTGGGACTCCCAGCAGTATAAATAGCCCTGGGACTGGGATCGAGCTAACCAGACAGGGCTCACTCTGCAGCCAAGTCTGTTGTCAGCGCATCCTGTACACGGGCTGGGCAGTGAGCAGGCACAGCCCTGGGGGCTCTGGCCAGACATCACCCCATCTTCAGATGCCCTCCCAGCCAGCCATGCTGCTAGGTGGCCTCCTTCTCCTGGTGGCCACCATGACTGCTGCCCAGAGGAGGGGGCAGGAGGCTGGTGGACGCCGCCAGACACATCGAGTCCAGTATGGCCAGTGCAGCTATACCTTCGTGTTACCTGAGCCTGAGCCCTGCCCTCCGGAGCCTGACACTTTTGGGGCCTCCAACAGCCTGCAGAGGGACCTGCCAGATGCCAGACAAAACTTGGGGGACTGGCGAGCCCAACGTGTGCAACAGCTGGAGAAGATGCTAGAAAACAACACACAGTGGCTGCAGAAGGTACGCCAGGCTGGGGGTGGCAGGCGGTTTTGGGGGCTGTCACCAACAGCAGGTGGAGTGCCCCCTGCCAAGGAGACAGGGCTGTGTGCTGTCTTGACTGGGCTAGGAGGCTCAGAGAGGGCAAGGTATGGCTGTGAGGCCCCACAGCAAGACTGAATAGTAAACCAGGCTTTTCCCAGCCTCTCATTCATTCATCCAACATCCAACAGGAATTTGCTGAGCTGATAACGAGTCAGGCCATTCTAGGTGCTGGACACCACTACATCCCCTTCTGGGTGGGTGGGGGAAAGAGGCAATAAAGTAATGTCTGCTGAGAAGACAGTGATGCAAATGAGGGAGGAGAGCAGGGCATGCTGTGGTCAGGACTGACTGATTATCTGAGGTCAGATCATTCATGAGGCTATCTCAGGAGGTGATGTTTGAGTCCAGAGAACAAGAGAGGTTGCCATCTCCGGGAACCAATCCCAGCAGAGGGACCAGTAGAAGCAGGAACACAAGAGTTGCTGGTGTGAGGAGGGAGCAACAGTCACATGCCTGGGGACTCCAGGCAGCCAGTGTGGCCGATGCAGAAAGGAAGGAGAATGGGGCAGAACCAGGGACGTGAGAGTGTGGCCAACCTGAAGGCCTCATGGGCCACTAGGAGGACTTTGGCTTTTTCTGTCACCAGAGTTCCCACAGGGCTTTGAACTGGGAATGACACCCTTGATTTGGTTTCAACAGAAGAAACTGTGGAGTGCAGGATGGGCTGCTGTGGCCACTATAGCCACCAGGTGTAGATTGCACAGGCCTGTACAGGACAGCTTTTAAAAGGTGGTATATGGGGCTGGGCATAGTGATTTACACCTGTAATCCTACCTACTCGGGAGGTGGCGGTAGGAGGATCTCAGTCCAAGGCCAGCAGGGTGGAAGCATGAGACCCTACCTGAAAAACACACAAAGAAAGGGCTGGAATGTGGCTCAAGTGGTGCATATGTCATGTTCTTCGAGTTCCTCCTGTTGTGCAGAGGGTGGCTGCATGAGCCTGGGTTGGTCTGTCCCCAGGTGAAGAGGCTGCACTGAGAGCATCTAAGCACATATCCATACACACTCCTGCATGCACACCTGACCTCCTGGCCCCACTTCCACCTGAACCTCTGCCCTCAGTCCTTCCCCCCACCTTCCCACTGTCACTCACAGACCTTCCCCCACAGCCCAGCAACGCTCTACCTGCAGCTCCCACTCCCTGGAAGGCACTCTTGGCCTCCCACCCTGGGCCCTCTCAGATGGCCCCAGGCTGCAGTGGAGTCTACAGTCTCCTCAGGCAGCTATCTCTATATCCCGTGAGACATTCCAGGCCTTGCTGTCCCCTCCAGCCTCCATCTTCACCTCCCCTCTCGCACCTCCTATTTTAAAAAGCAGCAGAATCTCTAGGGGTGCTCACCAGTCCCCAGGCCTTTCTTCAGGCTCAGAGGGAAGAGGTCCCTCCATGCCCAGGTCATTCTTCCCTCGCAGGCTTTGGGTCTCACCCCCTCATAGCCCCTCAAACTCCCCTTCCAGTGTCCCCAAAGACTTCTTCCTGTCTGCTGGTCCATCTTTTCAGTGTTTAATCACTCTCGAGAATCTCCCATACTCAAAAAAGAAGGAAGAGGAAGAAGCCACAGCAGCCCACGGGCCCTGCCTCCTCTTCCTCACTGCCTGTTTACTCCTTATCTTAAGGTCACCCCCAGTCCCCAAATCCAATGACCACAGCTCAGCTCTTGACAAGCCTAATGCTGGTAATTCACATCATCCTTCCAGGAGCTGTCCCATCAGCCAGTCCTCGTTCACACAACACCCAACTCTGCTACTCTCTCCCCTTCCCCCACCATGCCTCTATCAGAACCAGCCACCTCCACCTGCTGCCTGCGGCTGCCGTGAGGCCCTGCTCCCACTCTGGCCCCTGTCCACTCATCCAGCCCTCACTCTGCAGGTCCTTGTTAAAACCCAAGTCAGGCTGGTCCTCCCTCCGGAGCTCCCACATTGCCAGCGTAAAAGCAAGATAGGGAGGGTTTCTTCCGCTCCAGATGTCCATGTGTCTCTTCCTCTTCCCACCTCCTTTAGATCACACTCCAGAGTCACCTCCAAGCAGAGGCCCTCCCTGGCCACTCTCCCTTGTCACCCCAAGCCCAATGACCAACTCCGCTGCCACCGATTTCCTCATGTCACTCATTATCTGATGTTCTTTTGGCATTTATTTTGCTCTGTGAGCTCCAGGAGAGCAGGGGCCGTGTTTTGCTCACTGGGCTCTCAGGCCTGGAACAAAGTGGGGCTGGAGGAATGACTGTTGAACAAATGGATGAACAAATGCTCTCCCAGTCTCTCAGTCCCCTCATCTCCCTGCTCTGCAGTGACACTCACTGGTATCTGATAGCATCCAAGCCCCAAGCCCTGACCGCCCCCCCCAAAAAAAAAACCTCCTCCTTGAGGGTCCCTGGATGTCCTAACTTCGGGGTTGCCCAAGGCTCCTCTTCAGTGTGCTTCTCCCCTTCTCTCTGTTTCGGGTGCTGCCCCCTACTCAGAAACTCTGCCTTAAGGTCTTCCATGCTCTCCCTTCATCCCCAGCAGCCAGTACTGTTCCTTCCTCACTTCTCTCATCGTCTGTCCCCATGTCCATGGCCTCTGCCCCAGCTCAGGCCTTGTTACCTCTTTCTTGGACACTGCCTTAAATTCCCTTTTGACTTCCCACCCTGTGCTCCCCTCTCATCCCTCAGAATCCCCCGGGTCTGGGGCTTGGGAGACACTGGTGGAGCTGGCAGATGGATTTGACCTGATGGCCTTCAGGGTCAGGAGGTTGCCAGGCCCCACTCCTCAGCCCGTGGTGAGGGTCCCCTCTAGGTGTCCATCCACCTAAGCTTGACAAACCTGATGAGGGGGTCATGTCACCCAAGCAGAAGAGCGGCCAGCTTAGCCTCAAATCCCACCCAGTGTTTAACCGGCCACATGGCCATAGATGAATGAGTCTCAGTTTCCCCACCTGTAAAATGGACAAAAAGACAGGATGCCCAGGGTGGCCAGGAACGCTAGTGACACCACTCAGACCGCACTGTCAGCTGCCTGCTGGCTGTATATACCATAGACACAGGGCTGCTCACCTGAGCCAGGTGCAGCGTTTGATGAGCTTGGTTCAGTCCAGTGCAGTCCTTGTCCAATTCCCTCCATCTCAGCTCATTCTTAGGCACCCTGGCCTGGTGTTCTTTGCAGGTGTCCTTGGGCTGGGAATGTTACCTGTCTATACTGGGGTTAGCAGCAGGTCCTGTTTCTGCTCACTCTGGTGGGCACTGTTTCCATCTTCTGGGCACAGGACCCCTTCAGTTGATCACATTTCCCCTTCGTGCCCCTCAGCATTTGGGCCACTGCCAGGTCACATGTGCCTGTGGAACCTACCATAAAATCAGACCCCATTGGCCGAAGCACACCTTGTAGTCACTCTCCCTGGGTCTGTCACCACTTGGAGAGACTGGGAGGTGAGCAACCCGACTCTAGAGCTCTGCTGTCAGGATTTGAGGCTCAGTTCTGTCCCTTCCTAGCTGTGTGTGACTGGGACAAGTTGCTTTACCTCTGTGAGCCTGGGTTTCCTCACCTACAGAATGAGGTGACAATCAGACCTACCTCTGCAAGGATTTAATGGGACAGTGCCCAGAAGTCCCAGCCTGTACCAGGCACACAGTCAATTCTCGCTAAATGTTGGCTGGTTCCACAAGATGATCTCCCTGGAAACAGAGATACTGGTCCTGCAATATTGGTGCCTTTCATTGTGCTCCTGTCTCCTTTGAATATCACCTCTCTCTCCAGATCTCCTGTCCCCAGGCAGGGGAGCTCCTTACCTCTGTGGCCAGGACCTTCCTCTGATTCCCCATCTGGGGCATGTGGCTGGCTGGGGTCCTGCAGGGAATGCAGAGAGTGGGGAGCCCCAGCTCCCCTGCCCCTCCTCTCTCCCTCTCTTTCTTGCTCCCCCTTCTCCCCCCTGTCTCCCAGCCTTTCCTCCCTCCTCCCGGAAAGCCCCGCGCAGTGACTCAGGGTTGGAGCAGCTATCGGTGGGCTGAACATCAGCTCTGGGCTCGACTCCACTCCCCTCATCTGGGTGAAAAGCTGAAGCCAAGAATGCTGAGGGGGTGGGGACACAGGCAGAGGGAACACAGACATCCCTGCTGGGCTGTACAGCACTAGCCACATGGATGCCAGTGCTGGCCCTTCCCTCAGAGCCTAACCTGTGAGGCAGGAGATAAAGGTATCTTGTTCTGACTTTGGGTGTGGGGCTGAGGGGAGCAGATGCAGCACTTGCCCACAGCAGGTACCACCAGGTAGAGGCACTCAGTTCCCCAGTGGCTCCTGATCTCCCGGCCAGGAAATGCCATCCCTGGTCTTCTCCAGGGTCCCCACAGAACAGCCCTTTCTGTGTCTGAGGAAAACCAGGGCCCCGACACACACCCAGGCCTAACCACACCCTGGCCTGAGTCTATGAAGTCCCAAAAGCAGGACAGACTTGGCGCCATGCCTATGGGGCCTCTGCTTTCTCTGGCCCAGGGGTGGCCCGGAGTTCTGTGACAGCTCTCTCTCTCTCTCTCTCTCTCTCTCTCTCTCTCTCTCTCTCTCTCTCTCTCTGCCTGTCTCTCTGCCTGCATCTGCCTCTTTGGCCTCTTACAGTGGCCCTGACTCACTGTTGCCAGTGAGCCTTCCCCATGTGCCCCTTGACCACCTCTCCTACCTCTGCCTCTCTGGGTGTCCACATTGGAGACCCAGAACACAAGGGCCCTGTGGTCGGTACCCACTGCCCCCACCAGGCTGCTAAGCTGGGGCCTCTGTCTTCCCCCTCTGCATCCAGAGCCATGTGGGGAAGGGTCAGAGGCTAGACAGGGACCTCCCAACCTGGCACTGTCCCAGTCTCCATCACTGCTCCAGGTTCCTGACGTCAAACCTCAGAATAACTCAGCCCCTCGGCCCAGCAGCCTTGCCGACTGGCCATGAGCCAAGAGGACATTCAG